AGTTGCTTTAATATGTTAACTCACTTAATCCTCACAACAAGCCTACAGATAGGGGAACTGAGACATGGGGGGTTTTATTAACCTGCCCTCTTTCACTCAGCTACAGGTGAGTTCAACCTGGGCCCCACAATCACCATAACCAGTGGCATAATCTTTCAAATTTTTGCAAGAGCCATAGACTTGGGGATGAGAGGAGGGAAAGGTGACCCTGCCTCACCCTCAGGATAATGAACATAAGGATAGAAGGGAACGGGAAAACTCCATAAGGGGCTCTCACCATAGCAACCAAAGTTAACCCTATCTGGAAAGTTCCCTTATGTCCCATCTTCACTCCTGGTGGAAGGGGATCTTGTTCACACAGTAACAGATCAGAGTCATGCCCAGGGAGTACTCGAGCAGTACTCGACAGAAAAGAGCTATGTTCTGAAGAAGACAAGTGCCAAGTTGGAATGAGGAAAAGATCTACCTGTCTGGGACTCAACATTTGGGGCAGAAAGGAGCCAGGACTTCCAGGAAGAGGGCATAAGACTTTAAAAGGCATATGGGATGAGTAGCAAAGGAGAAGATGCTTCTGGGCCCCTGTGGCAGTTTTAAAATATGACTGCAAATTCCTTGACACTCCTATCATCAGAGGGTGGGGGCTCAGCCTGTTCTGAATCTGGGCAGTCTGTGATTTTTTTTCATCAATAGTGTGTGGCAGAAGTGATGCTAAATGGAGTTTGAGGCCAGACTATAGACAGACTTTCAGCTTCTTCTTTCTCCATTGGTCTCCCCACAAGGCCGCCATATTGTGAGGAAGCCCAAAATACATGAAGAGACCACGTGTCAACATTCCAGCTGTGCCCAGCCGTCCAGTCCTCCTGGCCCAAGCACCAGACATGTGGATGAAAAGGGCTCCAAGTGATTCCACCCCCAGACACTCCAGTCATCCTCAACCGTTCAAGTTTTCCCAGAGAAGGCTGCAGACATTATGGAATAGAGAAAAGCCAACACCATCGTACCCTGTCTAAATTCTGGCCCACAGAATCCATGAGCAAAATACAATGTTTCTATGCCCCTAAGTTTGGGGGTATTTTATTACACAGAAAGAGATGAGTGAAGCCATCCCCACCCTGGCAGACTCCATTTAGACTGAAAGACAGGCCAATAAGAGCAGGATAGAAATATGCACACTTAGGCACCAAGCATCTATAGACAATTGCAAGGCATAACATTAGAGCAAATGACTTTGGGAAACATTGAATTAAATAAGATTCTGACCATGAGTGAGACCTTTTAACAACCTGCTGTACCATGCACCTGTCCAAGAAGGAGGTATAGATTATGAGTGGGTCACGATGTTTGCTGCTTCCCTCCTACTTCTAGTAAAAGCAGCCAGTCTTTCCACTGAGAAAGCACCCCCTCCCGCACTCCCAGCCTACTGAGCTGTCACAATCACAGTCATTAATTATAGATAATTCTTTAGAAAGACTTTCTGAATATTTCTGAGTAATTGAGTTACGAAACTTTCTATTGTGGAGATCCTGAATCATTCACACAAGTTAAGTTCCCACAATTGCTTCTTTGTGAAGAGAATTATCCCTGTAGTTCACTGGAATGCCTGCCCTTCGGCAAAATTCTCCCAGGATTCTGAGGGCCCAGCAGAGCCCCTGGATGCTAACCCCTGGGGTCACCATCTCAATCTATCTGGACATTGCAAAGAAAACAAAAAATTTCCCATTTTAGATGTATTTTGCCAGAGTTAATGCGCTAAATGGCACTCAGAAAGTAACTGTTGAAATACCTTCATTCCTTTGAATGTTTTCAAATACAAAGAGTGAAGGCCGTTTATTTCCCAGCATGTCTCATCAGCCCGTTCCCACCAGCTGCCCCTCAGGTCCTGGAGAAGAGTCAACCTCTCAGAAGCTAATTCACATATATGGTCCTAACAGCATTTTCTAGAACTTCTGGTTACTCCTGATGCATCTTGTCCCTGCATTCCCTCCTCGCCCTCCGAGGATGCTGTAAGAAGCTGAGTGGGAAGAGTTTGCCAACTATCGGCACAAGGGTGTTGAACTCTGGGGAGAGGCAGACTTCATCAAGTTGGTCCTGAATTCACAGGACAGATGGACCCACAGGCTCGCTTATAAACAAAATTCCTACTTGCAGCATTCGGGTATGAACATGACTCACTGCAAAGATTTCTGGGAAAGTCAGCGATTTGCCCAGCTGCTGCCTTTCCCATGTGGTGTTATCAGCTAGGAGGCTGCGGCACGGCAGCAAAGTGTTGTCAGAAAGCCTCTCAGACCTGACCCGCAGTCAGTCAAACATGGGCCGTGCCTCAGTTTCCTCATCTATAACCTGAGAATAAGAACAGCCCCCGTCGCCCTGGGCTCATCTGAGGCTGGAGAGGTCATACCCATTGCCATGGAGATGAGTGTGTTGGGTACCATCTCTCTACCTGGGTTGGCCGGAGCCTGTGCCTCCCCGCAACTGACAATTTGTGCTGGGTTGTTCAACAGGCATGTCCCATTAAACTAGAAGCAAACTGGGTCCCTTGTGTCCCCACTCTGGTCCCATGACATAGCGCAATGAGCATGTGTATGAATGAAAGGATTCACAGTCCCATCACATGTAGTTGACCCAACCCAGGAGGCCCTCCTACAACTCATTTCCAGCAGCTTCCAGGAAGTGCTGCTACCAATGCCAGCCTCCTACTTCCTCCACACCCTCTGCTGTCATCAGTCAGTTCACAGAACCCCAAACAGGCCCTCAGTTTTAGTAGAAACAGGGTGTGCCCCACATTTCTCCAGGAAATTCTGCATGATCTGCAAGTCTCCGTATAGTTTTTCTATTTTCCTGGGGATGAGTGAAAAACAAACAAGCAAAACATTCTTAAAATCACAGTGTGGTATTATTTTTTAATTCCCCCTTTACAGTACCTAGAATCTAGTGAAAATGATAACATATTGAACAGTAACTTTAAAAAAATAAAAAACAGAGCACACATCAGCTTTAAAAAAGAGCACTTTATTTTAATAAAGAATAAAGGAGATCAATATATTTTTAAATGCATACAAAAATAAATATTCATCCAGCATATTAAAGATGTATATTTTGACATTCATTTGAGCTACAAACTAAAGCCTATTTACCAGTATCTCACAAAATTTCAGAAAAGAGCTGTTATCCTTAAAGCTGTAATGCTCACTTGGTTGGCCAAAGGCGAAGAGCCACTTTTACTGAAGTTTTCCTACGTGCCCGCGTGAATTCCGGCACATCCGAAGGCCCTGTCATTGTTAAGCTGGCTAGTGCTACACCTGCATCACCCTCGCAGCAATAATGGGGGGAAATAAACAGGCATTCTTTGGCCTTTCAGATTTTAAATCGGGGACTTTTGTTATTCAAGGCCACCAGATTGGCTGAGCGGGGGCAATTTGTCCCTCAAATTCCAACTCTTCCCATTTCTTCACATTCGATGTGAGTGTTTCACATCGATGGGGTGACATGTCCTTTCATGGTAAGATTCTGAGTCAGGGGTGGTGACGACCCAGGCTGTGTGACAAAGGGAAAAGAATACAGAAAAGATGCTTCTCCCCACCCCCAAGGAGTGGAAGCAAAGCAACCGCGCCCTCCCAACCCCCAAACCCGCCTGGTGCACTCACGGCCAGACCAGCAAATTGCACCACCAAGAAGTGGGGCAGGCGCTCCTCACACGCGTGGGTGCCAATCTCTGCCAGGCCCGGTGCAGCACACAGGGGCCACACAGACAAGAGGCACCCCAACCTGGCCAAATACAACACTTATTTAGAAAAAAAAAAATGTTCAAGTGCTCTTTGATCCTGAAAGCGGTTTAGAGGGGTTGTGGCGATGTGGTTTACTGCTCACTGGAGGGTCTGAGGTAGCGTGAACTGCCCTCTCTGTTAAGCCAGGCCATTGGTTTCAGTCTTCTGTCCCTGGCTTTTGATTAGCATCAGGATTAAACTGGGACTTCTCCATGGAAATCCCACTAGATGGCTCTACTGAAGAATTTGGTGTGCAGTGGGGGCGTGGAGGAGTGGTAGCGATGGGGGAAGGCATTCCCCCAGCCACAGCTCACCCCAAGACCAGTGTAGTGGTGACAGGCAACACGTGTCGTCCACATCCCCAATCCACTCTAGCCATGGCTTCACACTCAACACCACCGGCTGGTGAATGGATTGACTGAATCAAGGTACAAGCAAAAGGCTCATAAAATCCACAATTATACAAGGTGTCCCCAAAAAATGTAGACACACTTTGAATAATTATTAATTCCAATGGGTTAAATATGAAAAGAAACAGCAATTGAGCTGTCAGCTGTTAAAGTGTACAGACATTTGTGGGGGGAGGACACCCTTTATTTTGAACGTGTGCTTTCTATCCTGCCCACTTTATGGAAAGAAGGGGGGAAAAAGAAAAGCTGCAAAGCAGTTTATAATTGGACAATTAAAATTACAAATATTTTAAAAACAGGTCAAAACCATTTAGAAAGAAGCAGCCGGAGAGGTTATCTGGGATGACTTCATTACAGAAATGAAAAAATACATTTAGCTCTAAGCTTCCTGCAACAATGTGCCAAAGGAAAACCTTCCACTGTCTGAAAATCAGAACACACCAGGTCACACGGTGACGGAAACGCTTTCCTAGCACCGCATTCTGGGAAGAATGTACATTCTCCAAACTCGCCAAGAACTCTTGCTTTCACTTATTAAAGGGAAGCTTAATAATACTTATTAAAGTACTTGTTAATGTATTTTTAAATCTTATCAACATGCTTAAAAGTACAAAAGCACCTCACATCGAATCAAGCACATGAAATCATAAATCTATAGCTCTAACAGAAGATAAAGACGGAAAGCAGACTTGTCTTCACAAGTTGGTCCCCACATTTCTTTACTGCAAGCAACTATGTGCTAGTCAAAGTGAATGAAAGCCTTGGGAAATATCAATTATCCCCAAATGCTGAAGGATCATAGCAACTAATGATAATTAGGGGACAATACAGGAAACAAACGTTTTAATCAGAGGTTCTAGTTACACCATGCAGACCACTTGGTATGAGCTTCAATGTTTACATCAGAACGATAGAACTTGGACACAACTTCGCTTTGAACGTGGAGCCCTCGGAGAACGCCCTTACTAAATTAAGAGCAGAGTGAGGCATCCCACCCCAGGTCAGAGGGATCTATATCCTTAAATAATTACAACAGTAATTGTAATAATGAACTATGAGATGTGGGCGGGGTGGGGTGCCCAAGAGAGAGACTTAAACTGTGATCTGTTGGTTTTCTCTGAAAAAGGGTCTCTGGTGGGAGGCACAAATATCTGGAAACATCCGGAAGACCTGGTCTGGCTGGGGCTCCTCGGGAGCCTGCATCATGGACCCAGCGCCACAGCTCTTCATAGCTTCTTCCACCAGCTGCCGGACATAGAGTTGCTCAATCTAGAGGGATGGTGCACAGGTCAGAGTTGGAGATGGGAAGTGAGGTGGGACTTCCTTTGACCCCAGCCAGATTCTTTGATTGCTCCCATCTAAAGCTAGCATTTGAGTCCCAAATGAATGAACCCCGAATAAGGAGATGCAAAGAAAGGGCAAGCAGTATCCCTACAAAGACTCCTATGTATGCTTTTTCAATATTGTCCCCCACTTGGCTAGCCAGTGTCCAGAACTCCACTATTAGAGCTGCATTCCTTTGACGACGGTTAAATAAGGGCTTGTAAAACCCTTATTAAGGTCACTTAGGCCTTAAGGCAGGGTGGAATCCTTCTGGAAAGGAGGTTTTGATTTTGAAAAACAAACCATACAAAGAAAGGGCAGGGGAGACACACAGATTGTGAGAGTCCTAGAACAGGAGAAGATGGCTCGGCAGTGGCAAGAATCCACTGCTGCCACGTGAAGGTCTCGCCAGGCCTGCCCCTGCACACAAGTGGAGCACCCCAGTCCCTGCTGCCTGTTCTTCCGCCCAAGAATAAGCTGGGTCCTGATGTGTGGGCTGGGAGATCTGGCCACAAGCCCTGAAGCTGCCTGTTCTTACCTGCACGAGGATGAGTTTGGAGCGCAATGGGGTCATATCTGGAAACTCCTCTCCGAAGCACAGCACCACCCTGCTGTCGGGAAGCCGGCTCTGGTTGTTGTAGAAGTGCTGCAGCTCTGGAAAGACACGAGGAGGAAGGGCGGGCGTTTGCAACTCCTCGGTGCTTTCACACCTGAGCTCACGCACGCTACCTCGCCCACCTTGCCAGGGCCCCTTCTCCAGGAGGCCTCCAGGAGTTCCCAGGCCAGGAGGCAGGAGAGCTGTGCCACTAGCTCCTGGCTGTAAGAGGGAGAGAAGCAGAGAGCTTTGGAGCAGAGAAGGGTTCCCAGGCAGTGCTGCAGGCAGCCTGACTGACTGATTTCGGACACCCTGACCTCCAGGAGGAACACACGCAGTGGGAAGCTAATTATATGCCTCACAGAATAACCATGGCTGATGTGCAGCACTTCTGTGTTGGGGCGTGGTCCCGAGGACTCAGTGTTTACAAGGTCCACACACACAAACCCCTGGGGCCTGGCCAAGATGCAGATTCTGCCCCAAAGGCATATGGAAGGAAATGCTTTCTAACCAGCTCCCAGGGTGTAGGGACAGTCCATACAGAGTTGCAAGGTGCTAAGTTCCTAATGCTCCCAACAGCTGTACGAGGAAGCTGCTGTACTGCTCCTCCCATTCTACACGCTGGAAGTCCAGGCACGGAGAAGTTTCCCCAGGATCGTTCAGCAAAAGAAGTGCAGAGCAGAATTCAAGTACAGGGGGTGCCCCTGCTGCAGCTGTGCCTCTAGCCAGGGGTCCTCAAACTACGGCCCTCGGGCCACATGCAAATACAAATATTGTATTTGTTCCCGTTTTGTTTTTTTACTTCAAAATAAGATATGTGCAGTGTGCATAGGAATTTGTTCATAGTTTTTTTTTAAAACTATAGTCCGGCCCTCCAACGGTCTGAGGGACAGTGAACTGGCCCCCTGTTTAAAAAGTTTGAGGACCCCTTCTCTAGCCCCTACATATCCCCATGGGGACTGTGGGCGACAAATGGCTCTGGGAAGAAGGCGTGATCTTTAAGATACAGGTGGCAGCCCAGCCGGCGGGGGTCAGTGGTTGAGCATCGACTTGTGAACCAGGAGGTCACAGTTCGATTCCCAGTCAGGGCACATGCCTGGGTTGCAGGCTCGATCCCCAGTGTGGGGCGTGCAGGAGGCAGCTGATCAATGATTCTCTCTCATCATTGATGCTTCTATCTCTCAGTCCCTCTCCCTTTCTTTCTGAAATGAATAAAAATATATTTAGGGGGGAAAAAAAGACACAGGCAGCAAGGTGACAGTGTACAGACCTCGGAAGAACTGACTGGTGTCGAAGACCTTGACCACTTCGTCGCGCTCCAGCTTGTTGGGCCTGTCCTTGCACAGCACGGTGTTGCCGCTGTAGAACACGCGGCCCTGGCACAGCCGCTTGACCAGCACGCCCTGCCGGTTACTGTGCAGCACCACGCCTCGCTCCAGGTGCCCGAACAGCTTCCGCGTCACCTGCCTCTGCCGCTCGCTGGGGATGGTGTCCGCAGGCGGGAAGCGCACCAGCTCCAGGCCCTCCAACCCATACATCTTGGTGCTGGGCAGGCCCGGCTGGCTCAGGGACAGGCAGCAGCCCTCGGGGCAGGTGGTGGTGGTCTGGCCCACCAGCTTGCCCCCGTAGTAGAAGCTGATGACCATCTGGGAGAAGACTGTGGGGAAAGCAGGGGACAGGTCAGGGGCTGAGGGGAAGGGGGTCCCCTGGTCCTTCCTGGGGAAATGCCCAGAGCCTTTCTTCCTCCCAAACTAGGGGAGCCTAACTGTCTGTGTGTCCACGACCTTTCTGGCATTCTGGGAAGTTCATGCACTCTTTCTAAGAATAATAATTTTATAAGCATGAATAAGTACACAGAATTGCTAAGGAAACCAATGATTCCAAATATAGAAAACCATTATAGTGTGCTCCCTACCGCTGGGAAGGGCTGACAGCTGCCATAATTTATCAGTCACCCTGAGAGTGACGAGGTTTTGACAACTTACTTTCCTAGGAAACTGGCTCCCCCTCACAGGCACTGCTATACCACTGCTATGTTATAATATGTAACATCGATTCTTAATTTGAAATCCAGGGGACTGTGAATTTGTCAAGAAAAAAGATATCTCTTTATTTTCACTAACCTCAAATTCAGACCTAGCATATCCTTCCATTATGAACGTAGACAACAGGCTACATTGTTCTAGAGTATATACAGCTATATAACTAGGCAACCGTGTACAATACATGTATGTCTATGCTCTCAATCTCTGATCACCGAGAAACAAAGCCCCGCTTTGGTGCCGGCGGATCTTTAACACTCATGCTGACAACCTCCCTCTAACCAAGGGGCAGGCTTTGGCCAGAATCTCTAAACAGAATATCTGGTCTTCAGTGAATGTGCTTTGACCTCTGACTTCCTACTTATAGCAGTGACACTGGTTCTCCTTTTCCAGGCAATGACAGATGGCCCCCATTTTACAGTAAATTTAAGTTTTAAAAAGTAAGATGTAGAGAAAAACAGGACATTCATGATAGTCCAGGGGATACCCAGATATGAAAACCAAAGTGTGAAAGGTGGGGCTCAAGTGTCTAAAGTTTGGGAACCTCTAAACTAAGGGAGGAATAAAGACAACAGCTCAATTCAGGGATACTCCTAGAGAAATCTGCATTTTAATAGCCTTAAACTATGAGAAGTACATGCACTATCAATGAGCTTGGTGAGTTTGGGGAACCCTTTAAGACCAATCTGGGGCTGATCCCTTGAGCCACATGAACTGTGAGCTGCCCAACTCCATGGTGCCCCCTACACTTGTGCAGCGCACACCTGCACAACGGCCAGGGGCAGCCCTGTGGGGGCCACCTACCTCAGCTGGGTTCATGCTGCTGTGCACTTACAATTCCCTGGACGCTCCTACGGGCTTTGCTCAAGAATCATTTACTCAGTCAAATACTAGGACTCCCCACAGGCTCCATTTCCTCCCACGTTGGCGTTAATGGGAGTCTAGAGCAGCTGTGGGCAAACTACGGTCCACGGGCCGGATCCGGCCCGTTTGAAATGAATAAAACTAAAAGAAAAAAAAGACCGTACCCTTTTATGTAATGATGTTTACTTTGAATTTATATTAGTTCACTCAAACACTCCATCCATGCTTTTGTTCCGGCCCTCCGGTCCAGTTTAAGAACCCATTGTGGCCCTCGAGTCAAAAAGTTTGCCCACCCCTGCGTCTAGACTCACACAAGGCCAGGAATCAGAGCTGCAGGGGCTCCAGTCCAACTCATTTATTTGATATTTGGGGAAACTAAGGCCCAGGTGGAGTCACCCAGCAGGTAAGAAGCAGCACTAGCATCCGACTCCCTGTGTCATTACCCCCACTCACCATCCTCCCACCTCCAAGTCTGCCATGTCCGCATCGCCTGATGACTTGACACATTCCACTTCCTTCACTCTGAAACAATTCTGAACTTTGTCCCAATGGATGAAACACACCAGATGACTCTGCCACCACTCTGCCCCTTTGCCCTGTCACGGCTGTGGCCTTATTTCACACTAGTGTCTCTTGCTGTATGAACTTCAGGAGCAACGGACAAGGTGTGCCAGATGTCCAGGCAGGGCTGTCCTAGTGACCCCAACGCCAGGGGACAGCTTAGGCTCAGAGGAGATTCAAGCCAGAAGGGCCTGAGCCATGGCTCACCGTGCCCTATAGGCGAGCAGTGGAGACCCACAGAGCAGAAGCCACTCATCAAGGGCCTCCAGTTACTCAGTCCAGCCATTCGCAATCCTAAGGTTGCAGGACGCTGCATCCCTGTCCTGCTCCCGTTACATCCACCCGCCCACCAAGGACAGCCCTGCCAGGGGACAGTCTGACCACAGTGGCAGCAGAGCTCACACTCCGGAACCCACTGCCTGGTGCATTATCCCAGCTGTGTGACCTTGGGCAGCGGCTTCCCTACTCTGTGCCACAGTTTCTCCATCAGCAAAGTGGAGATAATAATACTCCCACTTCACTGGGTTACTGTGAGGATGAAATGAGCTTGCATTTGTACTTAGCATATGTCAGCACCATATAAGTGGTTATTAAACAAATTGGGGTAACAGGACAAAAGATTAGCTATATAGATGAGACCCTGAAGTTATAAGCCACAGTCCCTGGTCTACACAGCACATCCCAAGTGCTGTTCCCAGTGCTTTAGACCTATTAGCACATTTAATCCTCACAACAATCCCATGAGGTAGAGACTATTAAAATTATACCCATTTTCCAGGTGAGAAAACTGAGTCATAGACAGGTTAAGGTGATTGTTGTCAATGGCACGATTGCTAATTGGGGAGCCTGGATGCACTCCCTCCCTAGCAGACTGGCTCCACATCTGAGTTCTTTTTTTTTTTTTTAATTGATTTGAGAGAGAGAGAGATAGGGAGAGGGAGAGAGAGAGAGAAACACTCATCAGTTGCTTCCCATATCCACCCTGACTGGGGATCGAACCTGCAACCTGGGTATGTGTCCTGACTGGGAATTGAACCAGTGATCTTTCGGTGCATGGAACAATGCTCAACCAACTGACCCACACCAGCCAGGGCACAACATCTGTATTCTTAAGCTCCAAGTCACACTGTCAGTTTCAAACATTGTACTTCACCCCAATTATTTCAAATACATACAGTTAAGAGCACAAACAGCAGCCACAGACATGTTTGGATCCACCAGCACAGTGAGGTGCTGCTCACACAAATTTGCTGCCAACCTTTTATATGGGAAAATTTCACCTAAAAATCCACACCTCTGGTTTCTAAAATGGGAAAATTGAGCCTGGCTGGGTCTGTAAGTCCACTGGGCAGGAACCACAAGCAGCCCAGAGGAGGGTGGCCCCTCCACTTTGCCACAGTCTCTGCCACTCCCTGTTGTCCTTCTCCTGACACTTCACCATAATATTACCTGTCCCTATAGGGGTAAGAACTGGGGGCCCCTGACAACTGGGGAGGTGTTGTGTGAACCGAGCAGAGGTACCAAAGTCCACAACTTCTAGAGCAGCGGTTCTCAACCTGTGGGTCACGACCCCTTTGGGGGTCGAACGACCCTTTCACAGGGGATGCCTAAGACCATCGGAAAATACATATATAATTACATATTGTTTTTGTGATTAATCACTATGCTTTAATTATGTTCAATTTGTAACAATGACATTGGGGGTCACCACAACATGAGGAACTGTATTAAGGGGTCGCGGCATTAGGAAGGTTGAGAACCACTGTTCTAGAGGAACGGTGTAGGATTCTCTTTGCGAGTCATTCCACCTGCTGTGTGCTGAGACAGCTCTGGAATAACTGAGGGAGCTTCCTCCTCAGACCATGTCTTCTCGCCCAGACACTGCAGCATGTGCCAGACTACTCTCCTGCCCCCGGGAAGCGCTGGTCAGCAGACTCCCGGGGCCATAGCCCAGAGCTAACCAGGTCAAAGGCCCGGTCCCATGACCCGGGGCCTCCAGGAGCTGAGCCTCTGGTGAGCATGGTGGCTGCCCAGCATAAATCTAAAAACGGACTTGAAGCCAGATGCCTGGGTTTGAACCCAGCAATCCCGCTTACCAGCTGTGTGATCTGAGATGAGAGATTTAACCACTAAGCCTCAGTTTCCTCATCTGTGAAGCCAGGATTATAACAGTCCCCCGCTCCCAGGGCCGCTGTGCAATGGGCAAGGGCTCGATGAATGGGATCATCGTTTGCTTTAAAATTTTCTTGCCTGGGTGAGAACCTGCCTCTTTCACCCAAAAACACTCATCCCATGAGGGCCGTGGTCAAGGCCCTTCTCTCTGCGCCCCGTTTCCCCCTCTGTGCCAGGAGGCCTCGGGTCCCCGGCCCCAACATTATGTGGCCCATCTTGAGGAGTCAGGCTGCTCCCTTCTCACAGAACCTGCCGCTTTGGGGGAAGACACCAGCTTCCTTTGCTCTGAAGACACCATCAACGAGCCTGAATGTAAATTCCAGGAGCCGCTGGCAGGAACACGGTCTGAGTCCCCAATGTAATTAGACAACAATGTGGCACAGAGACCACCTCTGTCATCTGGGGCAGGAGCAGGGATGGAACAGCCTGGGGCCACACCCCGCTCTGTGGCCCACAAGTTATGTGATCAGGGGTTTCTGAGCTGGTGAAACGGAAATAACAGCACCTACCTAGGGGTGGTGGAAAGTGATGATATTAGGCCATGAAAGTCTCACTGATGATCCTGGACCCAGTTAGCATTCACTAATGTCAGCCAGAGATTAGGCCATGAAAGTCTCAATGATGATCCTGGACCCAGTTAGCATTCACTAATGTCAGCCACCACCACCATCACCACCACCATCTCCACCAACATCATCACCACCACTATCATCTTTATCACCATCATTACCATCATCATCACCACCATCACCACCACCATCACCACCAACATCATCACCACCATCATCGCCATCTCCACTATCATCATCTTTATCACCATCATTACCATCATCATCACCACCATCATCTTTATCACCATCATTACCATCACCCTCACCATCATTACCATCACCCTCATCATTACCATCACCCTCATCATCATTACCATCATCACCATCATCATCACCATCATAACCACCATCATCACCAGCATCATCGCCACCATTACCGTTATTAGCATTGTTATTGCTATAAACTTAGGTGGGAGAGAGTAAAACAAACTGTCACTGGTGACATCCATTGACCAGTATGTCCCTACCAGAAAGTTTTAATAACACTGTGTTTGACCCTCACAACATTCCCATGCGGTAGTTGCTACTGTTGTCCCTACTCTACAGATGAGAAACCTGAGGTCCCAAGTGGTTCAATTACTTTGCCTGGGGTCACATGACAGGGGCAGAGCTGGGCCTTGAGTGTGTCTGTCCCCACACTCTTTCTCCCATATAGTTACACCTGCAAAGAGCTCTTCGGATCTGTTTGCTGGTCCAGTCCAAGAAGACTCTCAAAGAGGCCAGCCACTTGCTCACTCCCAAACCAAACAGTGAAAAGGGGAAATCAGGTGCCCGACTTCTGACACCAGATCATGCTCATCCAGGGGCCCTCAAGAACCCACACAGGTCCTTCGAGTTTTGTCTTCAGAATGCCCCCCACCCGGCCTGGCCCGGAGCACTTCGTACCTGAATGCTGTGCATCATAGGCGGCGTAACCCGGCACCAGCGGCAAGCCTGCTGAGGAAGAGAAAAGCAGACTCAGATCCAGCCACACTCGGTTGTGTGCAGGGGAAGCAACCCAAATGCTCCCCCTCTCCAAAAGTTTCTTAAAAAGCCGCATATGGCGTGCTCCTGAGGCCCTGCCACAGGCTTCCGCTGAATTCGGTGTTTTTCCCTCTCAGTGCGGCGACCTATGTTTCATAAACGCAGAAAACCAGACCTCAACCCAACCAGCATGGAGGGGGGAGACTTCCTCTGTGCTGTGGGATTTCTGACCATGTGTCAGTGTGACATTGTGGGGCCACGCTTCCTTCCCCCTGCTCCCAAAATACCGGGGGACTGCGTGTCCACCAGCCAGGGCTTGACTTGAAGGGGAGCCCGGCCCGAGCTAGCTTTCTCAGAGGTGCTGCTGGCACAGGGAGGGGGGCTCTCCAGGGCCCCTGATTTGACACCACCCCATACCCACAACCGTTGAGGCCCATTAGGCTAGCGACCGCCTCCGGGTCTCCCACAGGGGACAGTGGGGGAGAGGCCAAGTAAGGGAGCAAAGGCACTCATGCTCCCAGAGGGAGGGTCATTTCAAGCAGTGGTGGAGGGGGCGGGTCGTCAGGAGCTAATAAGAGGGTGAATGCCTCATTTAGCTTCCAGGCCCTGTAGGGTCAGTCCTGGTGTCTCCATTTGTCATGAGGAAACTGAGCCTTATATACGATATGCAACTTCTGACAGGGGACTCAAATCCGGGGCTCTGAGCGAGCGAGTGCCCGTTCCGGAGCTCTCCTGCTCTCCAGCCGCCGCTCTGGGCTGTGCTTGGCTCTGAGAGGTCCCTGATGTCTGAAGAAACTGGATGGAGGACCGAACAGACCTAACGTGGCCCAGAGCTGTGAATCCCCTCTGGTCCTGGAGAAGTTCACTGCACTCCCTCCCCTCTGACCTCCCCAGGAGCAGACACCTCCTATGGGAAGGACACATGTGTCTTCCTGGGAGGCAGTCACCGTCAATAAAATAGGGATCATAGCAGTACCCCCGTCCCGTCCCCTCCTCACCCCACCCCGGCTGCTATAAGGCTGAAACCATTCAAACACGTCCAGCCCCCAAGCACTGGGAGTGGTCTGGACTCCCATCCTCACCTGTGCTGGGCTGCTGCATCCACCAGTCTGGGAGGAGCTGATTCCTGCAGGCCTCAGGCGGGGAAGGGCTCCTTTTGACCATCCCCATGTACTCATCCACAGGACGCTGTGCGACCGGGAACAAGACAGAGAGCAGCACAGTCACTAGGCTTCCAAAGCAGGACCCCAGTGTTGTAAAGATGAAAGGCTTATGCTTAACGAAGACCATATTGTCACCGTTAGCTCATAAGACAAAAGGGAAGTTTTACTTGTATCTCGAAAGATCCAGGATGCTCAGTGATCAAACTACGTAACTGAATTACTAGCCTCTTCAGGGCCCTTAATAATAAGTTTATTGACCTTTTCCTGAAACTGCCTGTTGCCAGTTCTGGGCCCCCAGCACCCCTGACATTGAATGGACTCTGCCACGCTTTCGTGAATCTCACTCAATACACCATGTCTCAACTCTCCATCTCGGACCCCTTTCTTAAAGGAGGTTGGTAAATCCAGTGAGGAAACGTTTTTGAAATCTGCTTTTCCTGTGATCCTGGTGCACCAATCCTGTTATTTCACTCTCTTCGCTGAGTCAGCAGAAAAGCCTCATGGAAAACGGGACATTGTTGGAGTGACAGGAAACCAGGAATTCCGCTGATCTGCTGCCAAAGACCACCCAGACACGTAACAGCTGCCATGTGCAGAAAAGTCAGGCAGCTCAGAGTACATTATATTTTGTTATCTGCATTTCCTGACCACCAAGCCACTCCCAAGGATTCTAGCATTGCTATGTGAATTAAGAATTTATATAGCACCTCCACCACCTTTCACAAGGGCTGTGTGGGATTATCTTAGCTATGCAATGTCCACCCTGTAAGAGCCATAAAAACATAGTTAAAAGGCTAAAGGTAGAAGAAAATGGCACCCAAAGAGCTAAAATTGGTATTCAAATAACCATTGCCTAGGACCCCATTAAGCCTTTACTTATCGCCTATTAACTATGACTTTACGTACAATTCTAACAAGCGTGGTTATATGGCGTTCTAACCCATCAAGGATGAAAAGCTGTGTATTGGAAGACAGGCAGCCCACCAGCCATGAAAGCTAGTACAATAATCATGCCATAGGAACAACCCTAAGCAGGAAGGAAAGTTCCCATATTGTTCACTGCAGCATGCTAAGAAGGTAAGAAAATATAGGGTGCATTACAAAAGACTGGCATTCAGAAGGTTTAAGTATGAAAATCCAGAGCTTGCGGGAGCATCACTGACACAGAGCAAGCACTCTCCCCAGCCCTTGGGATTAAGGACTGGACACCAGGTGAACGGGCTGACCGGCTGGAGGAGGCTGGCCTCACACAGGTGGCCCAGTCCTCACGTTCTCTCTCTGCCGGGGTAGAGACAAGGTTTGCTGGGAGAGCCTGAGGCTCTGGATGTCTTGGTAGAGCAAGAACAATGCCTTCTGCTGTCGGGCCAGACCTCCGGAAACGCTGCCCCACTTACCTCCTTGATCAGCTCGTCAATTTCAGAGTGACCACATTCCATCTCAGTGACTTCATTCACACAGCCAGGAGTCGACACGCCCAATTTGCCTGTGGAAAAGCAGACAAACATGACAAAATGTGGCCAGAGCTCTGAGGCATCCCTACCATCACTGAGGCCATCAGTGGTTTGTTCCTAAATGCTGAGTGGAAGGAAATAAAAGTATCTTCCCTGGTTTGGGAAAGGCCTAGACATTTTTTTCCCATGCTTCTTCAGTCATCTGATCAGCAGAATCAAAAGAGAGAAGTTGGTTGTTGTTGTTTCTAACACTTGGAGGCCAAAGAGCACTTGGGTCTCTCTTCCTTCTGTTTGTGGGGATCTCAAATGAATGCATATCAGAGCCCCTTTACACCAGGTGTCTACCGCCCTGCAGAGGTTAAATTTACAAGCTGGGGCACTTGTAGGCACTCAAAGGTTTCCTGGCAAAATATGTTTGCAGGTTAGATTCTTTTTTTTTTTAAGTTAATTGGCAGGAAATCTCCTTTTAGCCTTTCCAAATATACCAGTACACGTGTGCATCTGCACACACACACACACCCCACGCACATGCACGGCACGGCAAAGACTCACCCGGGCCCAGTTCGAACCTGCCTTCGTCAGGAATCACTAAAGGCACGTGAGCATTTCCACAACAAGCTCTCTGGATCAGGCTAGTCTCCTCCTCACTCTTATGCCTCTTCCCCAGCCAGAAGTTTAAGTTTATCAGTGTGAGATGTATTATAACATTAGTCCCAGCGCCCACGCACATGCACGGCTCGGCAAAGACTCACCCAGGCCCAGTTCGAACCTGCCTTCGTCAGGAATCACTAAAGGCACGTGCGCATTTCCACAACAAGCTCTCTGGATCAGGCTAGTCTCCTCCTCACTCTTATGCCTCTTCCCCAGCCAGAAGTTTAAGTTTATCAGTGTGAGATGTATTATAACATTAGTCCCAGCGAGCTACAAAATTGGCCTATTGTTTCATCCTTGCTGAACTTTTATTCCACTTTGATAGATTCAAGAATTCACTTAGAAGCTGTTGATGGGGGAAGTAGAGGGCAGGTGGGGCACCCCCAATGGAGCTTGCAAACTACTGAAGTACAGAGGAGAATGGGTCCATGTAGACTTTATGCAAATGCCATGCCTCTCTGCCCCCCTGAGAACCTGCTTCTTTAACATCCACCCTTGCAGGTGATGCTGGCTGTGCCCCATCTATAAACAAGTTGGGGTCACCTGCCAGTTCAAGCTTGGCTGCTCCTGGGGTAGAGGAGTAAGAGAAACTTCTCCATTACTTCAAACCACAATTTACTTTGTGGTGACAAAAAATATTTACATATTGGAAATATATACATATTTCCAAAACTGGGAAGTAAAGCAAAAAGATGACTGGCCTTTTGAAACCATTCCAGAGGATTATCCAAGAGGTCTCCCCTAAGGGTCATCTGATTTTCCAGGTCAGTTTGACTCCTACTGACTACTGATTAGACTTCAGGCTCAGGAAAGCCAGGTGTTAATGTACAGGCAATTAAGCTACAAACGACCAGCAGAAAAGATAACTCCCAAGCTGTGGTGTAGTGCCAGGCTCCGCCTCCGCCCTTCACTGACCATGTCTGCCAGTGTGGCATATTCTGTCAAATCTTTGTCATCGAGCTGGTTCCCTCACTAATGAGTCAAGTAACTCTCTGATCCAGGTTCACCATATATTTGTTAGGGTCACAATTTTAACTTTTTAAAAATTACCCATCAACATTTTTAACCTTCCCACAGTGGGAAGAACTCAAGCTTAGAATTTCTACATAGCCCTTACCAGAGAGTTCTATTTCTTTCAGGCCTCGATCTTTGTCATCGATCTGGTTCCCTCACTAATGAGTCAAGTAACTCTCTGATCCAGGTTCACCATATATTTGTTAGGGTCACAATTTTAACTTTTTAAAAATTACCCATCAACATTTTTAACCTTCCCACAGTGGGAAGAACTCAAGCTTAGAATTTCTACATAGCCCTTACCAGAGAGTTCTATTTCTTTCAGGCCTTACTGGACTTCTTTGAAGGAGAAAAGGATGCCATGCCAATATTCTAATTGCTACATCTAATGGCTAAGAAAATCAATGTGTTAACACATGTTTTAAACCAGAGGTGGCAATTAGATTTTATCTCACGGGCCAGCTCCGATTCATAGCAGCTGCACAGCACACCACTTTGAAAAGGATTCTGGGGCCAGATCTGAGCTCCACACATCCTGGTTGATTAGTGATGTCTGACTGGAGCATGGGTATCAGGCCTTGGGAGATGTGCAGCACGTTGTTGCTATCCCTGCTTTGAATTCTTCACAGATGCTTTCCTGGGATTACAGAGCTGGAAGAAACTTCAGGAATCATCACATCCTGAATTCCTAAACAATGACCAGGCTCTGACAGTGTTGAGTCATAGCAATGAAACTAACAGTGTCATCATCCAAAAATTCATTCAAGAACTTCACTCTGTACCTCAGTCAGCCATCCCTTCTTTGTCCACCTGATGGTCCCCTAGCCTCCTCTCAGAGTTGCTAGAAAACAAAAGGAATTCCTTCCACACTGTCAGAGGATCCCTGCTCCTGCCCAATCTCATCCCTGACCCCAGGGATATCCTGCAGCACTCCAGGCCAGCAGAGCTGGCTGCCACCCAATCTCCCGCCCTTTCCTTCCATCGGCGCCACCTCTCACTCAACTGGAAGCTGCCACTTGGTCAGCAGATCGTGGGTGAGGTCAGTGGGAAGAGAATTCCTTATACAAAGGAGAGAACTATTTTGTTTAGCTAAAACCACTTGCCCCAGACCCTGTGGGCGGCGGCTTCCACCCTAGGCCTGGGCCTTGCAGCCTCTGTTGGACTGAGTGCCCATCCAGGATAGTTACATTTTTGCTCTTCCTCTGGGACGATGCGGTAAACTTTGTATGGCTCAGAAATGTCCAGCTGGGACCGGTCTGTCACTTCCTCAAAATCTGGACTCTTGTTTAAAGCGCAGCGTAGCCTTGTCTTCCATGTGGCTGGTTCAGCTTTGTCCCCTTCCTTAAATTTCCCTTTAAAAACCGCCCAGGCCTGAAAGGAGAGAAAGCAGTACATGAAACAGTCAGCCCCTCGGCCACAGATATCCATGGTCACCGTCACCATCAGCACTTGCTCGCCCTCCTGAGAGCCATTTTTAGCCATCAGCTCTCATTCAAGGAATTCCAGGCCTCAGTCAGACCACTTTCTCCGACAGATGTAAAAAGACCCAGGCCAGGAAGGGGACCCCAAGATCTCCCAGCTGAGCTGAAACTGAAACTCAGGCCAACACAATTCCTTCCCTGGACCAGCGAGCCAGGAGGAGCCTGAGGTCAAGTAGCACAAGGAGGAAGTGCACATGGTTTCACTAGAATGTTCAAAACAAAGAACAATTTGTGTGTGTGTGTTTTTTAATCAACCCCTGGCATGAAAATTTAGCATGAGAAGGAAACATTTGCAAAAATTCTGAGTGTGGTCATCCACTGACTGCCCTGCTACTTTTAATAGAAATTGTGTTTTGCATTTTGGCATTTATTCTAGCCTTCCCCGCCCCCCACACCTCCCCAGGCGCTGTTTAAAATGCAATGAAATAGTCTCTCACTCTGTTGGGTTTTTCACAGCTCTGTTTTCTGACCTCTCCAAACCTTAGACTCTGAACTAGGAACAAAGATACAAAACTGGAAACTTAAGGTCAGAGGTAGAATGGGGCACTGTTGTTTGTTTGTTTTTAAATCAAAGGTGTGAAGGGACATAGTTTTAATTTCAAAATTGGAATACAGAACACACCAATTAGGTCACTACTGTCAGGTGAAAATAACCTTTGGCATTAGGCAGAATCTTCCAACCTAAAATAATACCAGAGCTAGAGGAAATTCTCAACCCCACTTGGGAAACTGCAATTCCAAGGGGTAACTTTCCGAGGTGACCCTGTATGGGATTAAATGCCAGCTGTTCTCGACTTAATGGCAATCCCCTGGGAGCTCATGAAATGCAGAGACCCGCTTCCAGCCTGCACTGAGTTCTTTCCAGGGTTCTCGGGCTGGCTCTAAGATATCACCCTGCTGGGAGATCTTTCAAGAACCCCTTAACTCGATTTCCACCCTGAACATTCTGAAAAAGAAGCAAAATACTTTTTTTAAAATAAGTATGAGCTGCTATCAGGGCCTCATCAGTATACCAGGGGTGGTACAAACTGCGCTCAATGTCCTTCACAATCTCCCATCTCTGGTCCCCACCATGAAGCCGACCTCAGGATGACGCCTGCGGACAGTGAAGGGGTCTCTGGTATAAGTAGATTCTGAAGACCCACTTATTAAGGCAGAAAAACAAACTGGTTTTAACTCAGACATTTTTTAAAGGTGGACTTTTATGAAACTAAAGCGTTCTCCACTTCACCAGAAAAGCCCTAAATGGCTCTATCTCACCAAGGGCCTGCCTACTGACTTCTTCCAATGGCAGGCACATTTGGTGGACAGAGAAACGCCCCGCAGAGGATGGCGTGAGCTAGCGCAACTCAGAGATGGCTCCTTCCCACCTGTATTTCACCAGCCCAGGCTGTCGCCCTCCCAGTGGCCGCCCAGCTCTGGGTGGGCGCCCTGTCTCCCTCCCGCCCCCATTCCTGCTGAGATTGTACACTCATGTCAGATTGCCACACTGAGCGACTGCGTAATCAACGGAAACATTGGGAATCTTGCACATTTTTCTCAACGCTGTTGAAACGGCCATGCAGAACATTGCATAAGATACATAAATCTGGGGCTTTATTTCATTACCCCCAGAGCAGAAGCTGAAGCAGGGAGCAGTGTGAAGGGAACGGCCTTGCATCTCCTCCAGCAAGCCACAAGCCAGGGTTATGCAGCCTACTGGTCCAGCCCCCTCTACGCTCCTCCTGAAGAAGTTTTACTGATGGTCAACCTGCGACTGTGCCCTCCACACCCCACACTTCTGCTTCAATCTGCCCTTCCTGGCCATGGTCAGCTCCTCGAGGGGCTCCCAATGTGAAAGGGGAGAGCACGCCCCGGGGAGCGTCTGGCAATGTCGGAGGCATTTTTGGTTGTCACATGTGGGGGGCAGGTGCTGCTGGCATCTAGTCGGTAAGGTCAGGCATGCTGCCAAATACCCCACAGTGCACAGGACGACCCCGCAACAAGGAACAATCTGGCCCTAGATGTCCACAGCTGAGGAGCCCCAGCTGATAGCCATTGATAATCCAGAACAGCGGTCGCCAACCGGTGGCCCGCGGACCACTGGTGGTCTGTGAGGTCCGAAAGGTTGGCGACCGCTGATCTAGAACTCCCAGCTGACCAGGTGGACCCTAGCACTGTTTAAATTTAGCTAGAGTCATTCCCAAGAGAAGTTCACCATAACGCTAAAGGTAAAAAACCTCTATCAGAGAGGAATCCGCATCCCCCCATGAATGAGAAAGGATGCACTAGCTCAGCTCAAAAACCTGGCAGAACCCAGGCTCCTGACCTGGGGTCCTTGATGGGAAAAAAACATCTGCTGGACATGCAGGCCACATGGGACCCCTTGAAGGTGAGTGCAGAACATCCACAGGTGCCCACTCTCCTTGGAGAGGGCCAGTAGTTGGCATCTGATTCTCAAAGAGGCCTGCAACCCCAGGTGACAAACTTAATAGAATTGCTACATGTGTGGCCCCACTGCAAACGTCAGAAAGAGAACTGAAGGACGGAAATGCCTCATAAGCCAACTTTGACCTACTTATACTCCACTCTGAGGCCAAGGTATGATCTTTGGTCATTTTGTGTCAGAAGACAGTCATCCCTGGCTGAGTCTGGTGTTGCCAAGGGGTCCCACAGGGCCTCACTCCCCTCATTCATCCAAGGTCTCAGGTCTGGTTCTGGCCCTTCACAACTCAGCCTCTGCACTCCTCTTCCATATCACTCACTGTCCCCTCCCTGTCCCGGTTCTGTGGGCATTACCCCCAGAGCATAAGCTGAAGCAGGGAGCAGTGTGATGGGAAAGGCCCAAATGCCCACAGAACCAGCACACAGCAGCAGCAGCAGTTTGCAACCGGGGCTCTGAGTCAGACCACCTGTGGTGCATCTGTTTGCAAAAATGGAAGCCTGGGCTCACCTTGACTAGGGCTACAAATCTCTTCAGGGGATGGAGACTGCACTTCTGGAGCCTTAGAGAAGCACCCCAGGGAGCAGGGGGGGTGGGGGACAGGATTCTGGTGACCCACTAGGCTGCAGAGCTGCGCTGCCCTGGCTCCTGGCTCCTCGGCCTGAATCTAGGTGTACTAGGTATAATGGCAAGAAACCTCTGTTTCTCAGTACTGCTGGAGGTTGGGAGCGTGGGCTCAGAGGGGGGCTGCCTGGGTTCAAATGCTGCCTCCATCATCTAAGAGCTGTGAGATCTTAAACAGGTCACTTCTCCTCTCAGTGCCTCTACAGAACAAGGACAAGGACAGCACCTCCTGCAGAGGAATGTGTGAGAGGAAAACTCAAACCCTGTGGGGCCAGGCCTGCCACAGAGCAAACCCCCAACCAATGCTGGCAGTCACCGTGCAAATGGCAGAACCAAACAGCAAGTCCCTCAGTGCTTGGGGTGCTCACTATTCTCAAGGGAAGGAGACTATTTCTAGGCACCTGCAGCAGGACATCCCATCTGACCCAGCCCGGAAGCAGTGACAGATGGTGTCTCTCTCACTGAGCTGACCCTACGTTGCCAACCAGAAGTTACAACTTTGCAAGAATGAAGAAAGTGTCCTTAATCTCATCAGAAAAGGCACCACTCTACAACTGACCTCAAAGTGATTAAATCACATAATAGTTGCAAAATCACATGGTATATTTTTTAGACACATTCTGCACTCAATCAATGTTTGTTTTTAAAAATTGGGATTAATTTTCAAGCAAATAAGAAAAGTTGTCACTCAACACCTCCACCAGCCGGTGAGGGAAGACAGAAGCTATGCTCATGGTCAGGGGAGGGAAGCCCAGCCTTTACCTTGAAAATGGAGGCGTCCACTTCCTGATTATAATCTTGTTTGCCAGCGTGTTTCCAAGGGATCCGGAACATGCTCTTCTCGTCGTTTTCCCAAATCAGCCCTGGGTACATGTTGCTGTCAATTTGCTCAATCAGCCACTGCCGAAGCCTCCGGCCTCCGTTCCGGTCACACATCCTTAGAAAGAAAATAACATAGTCTCAGACATTACAAGCACTGTCTCATTCATCACAGCACCCCAGGTACTTAACAGCCCAGAAGTACTAACGGGAAAATCAGAGGGCGGCAACGCAGGGGCCAGCTGGGGGAAACCCGCAGATCCAGGACTCCGGCTGGCCGCCTGCCCTGAGAAGACAATGCCTGCTTCCAGGACTCAGAGCCCTGAATGAAAACTGAAAGCTCCCTGGGAACTCGGCAGCTGTCCTTCACCCAGATGTTGGCCCCACCTACTGTTCTGGTTGTGTCCTTCCAGCTTTTACCCCAGGTTTCCTTTCAGGCACATCTAAGGCATCATTCCATTTTTAGCACGAGATAGGGAAAAGTCATTTTTACATTTCCAGGTCCCTTCCATGAGCACCCATCGCTCTAAGAGCCAATTCCATTGCTCGATGCCCAGTTTGACCAGTGTTCGTGAGCAAATAGGACATTTGTGATCTCCAAGAAAGAGGAAAGTCTCAGGCTATCCCTCTAGATTGTTCCTTCACAGCTGGTTTAGTGGTAACAGCATGAGTTTGGGAAGGGCAGAGTGGAGGTCCCATTTGAATCCCGCCATCTCTCAGCTGGGTGGTCTGGGAGCATCTTTTAACACTGAAGTGTCAGCCACACTGGCTGAAACTCGGGGACAACTACCAGTACTTGGCATCGTTGTAAGGAGGGCTCAGACAATGTGTAGAAAACATCTGGACCTTTGAAGAGTTCTCTAAATACAGATGTTGTTATTATTACCCCAACTTTCTTCCTCAGGAACTCTTCTGACCAACTGGGAGATAGCAGACAAGCGTGAGGAAATCAGCTGTGGCTACAGACAAAGTTAGCCCGGATAGACTCTTCCAGAAGGTGCCAAAACCAGGGAACCTCACCATCCCAAGGTGCCCAAAGACATCCTTTGGGAGATCATTCTGCCAGAGCAGACAGCTGTCCCAACAGCACAGAGAAAAGAGAAAGCAATCATGCCGTATCAGCTCTCAGCCCACGTTTACAAGAACAGGGGTGGGAATCCCCTAGGCAGTTGGACAGACGCCCACCCAAAAAAAAAAAAAAAAAGGCATTTCTATTCTTCTGATTAAAATGTGACCTCTTCTGGCAAACAAGTTTGAAACCATCAGTAGTGACAAGACATAATGTCCCCAAGAATATGGTCACATCTAGAGCCACGCTGGTCCATAAAGCAACAAGTTATAAAAGTTCTGCAGGTGGCTATGGGGTCAGAGAGGGCATCCAGGTCCTGAGAAGGAGGTGAGGTCCTGTGAACACCCAATGTAACCTTTTCATCCAATAGCCCCAACTGCCCCGTTGTGTATGGAAAAGGGGTGAAGTGTGTGGAATGGTCATTGGGCTTCAATTTGAAAACCGTAGGCTCCAGCCAAAGGCTTTTCTCTAACTAGACCTGGCTGAGCTGTTTGAAACTCTCTCTGAGGTTCTCCTCACGTGCAAAGTGAATGGAGCTCGTATCCCAGAATTCTAAAACAGTCCCTTGCGTTTATAAACACGGGACAAATTTGGGAGGAGCACCTAATGAGAGAAATGAAACGACACCACCAAGTTCCTCCCAGAAAGTAACTTGGCAGGGTGCACATTCCTATGGGTCTCTCCTGCTGGAAAGGCGGGAGACTGTCCACTCCTTGAGGAGGGAGCTGTGTGGGGGACAGGGAGCGGGGCCAGAGCACAAGAGAAAGGTTAGTGTCTGTGGATCTGTCTATTGAAGGACACGTCCCTGCTCACTAGCGTTTTGCTCACCCCCTTAGTACAAGGTTCATACACTAGAGTTCATGTTCCAGGAGCATCCTAAAATGAAAAGCAGTATTTTGTTTGTATGGGAATTTTTCCAGAAAGTGATTAACACCTTCTTGTAGGGATTTTTAATGGATTTATAACCCCAACATTGTTAAAGACAACTCTCTTGGTGATTAATGAGGAAAAGAAAAGAGAAAAGAAAGTAAGAGAGCTGGCATTAAGAGGGAGAGTAAGTCATACAATATAAAAGCTGGACCAACTTTAGAAATCATCTAATCCAGCCCCTCCTGGTTCAAAAATGGAAAAACTGAGGCCCAGAAAGGCACCCCAACCCCAGCAAAGGGGTCTTATTTTACTCACTCTGCAGAGAAAAACCAAGGTTAGATTATGAGACCTCAGCACATGGACAGCCCCGCTTGAATTTTCAATGAGATCACCTGCAAGATTCTAAGCAGCATTAAAAGCCTATGGTTCTAATACAATGAAGATCCATAATGATCTATTAAACACTAACAAATTAATTCCACCAAATGCTGAGCCAGGAAAAATTTATAAGCCCAGTCACATGTTTATAACTTCCTCTTCCTTGATTTTTAGGTAATAATTCTTTTTATGGGCCAAGTCCTATCTGGAGCTAATCTCTACCCTATAAATGAGTCCGGGGGTCAGGCTTCCCAGGTGGCAGGTGATAAGAGGTCGCCCTGGGCCCAACCAACCCGATTCCGGGATGTACCTGCCAGGTGGTGCAGGACTCGCCTACTCCCACACCTCTCAGGGCCCCTGGGCATCCGCCCTGGCCGCCACGAGACCCAAAAGCATCAGAGCCATTTCTCCCTCTGGCCCTAATCTTGCTAAAATAACTAAACCACCCCTAATTCTTTACATGGAGGAACGTGCCATAATCCAAAAGGAAACTCTCAGACTGGCTCCTAACAGGTTTTAAAAAGTGTGTTATATCCCTCCATATGTTAGGGGAATCGTTCAAAATCCTGGAACATGCGGTCTCTAGTTTCCATTCCTGAAGCACTTCACAGCTCTGGGTAATACATTTCATCTTCTCACCATAGAGTCTGCCCTTTGCCTTGGGGACATTTTACATAAAAATGGCCTTGTTAGTTGTGACCCCATACAGACTTCTTGCCAGGGGAGACTGGGCTATGGTGGAAGCAAAGGACCTCAAACCTCACTCAGAAAACCTGTCATCGATCAGGATAAAAAATCCAGTCTGCCCCTTCACAAGTTAACCTGCACAAGCAGTACTGGTTATTGGACAGCTTCACCGCTATGACCCTCCAACTATCATTCCATGTAGTGGATTTGAGTGGGACAACGGGAGTTTTATAATAAAGGGTAAACATTTCCCTTCATTATATGAACCATTCTAAAGTCGTCCATGCAAACCAGATTTTAAGAAAAATGAGATTTTTTTTTTAAGCATCAAAGCCATTTAGGGGCAGCCGCATAATGATCAACGACTTGGACCTTGAGAAATGGGGGGGGGGGGGG